AAAAGTTGTCTGATGACTGTTTAAGTCTCAGAGCAAAGTGAGGTGCCTTGCTGTGGGATGTCTGCACTACTGGTAGTGTTCATCCTCTTGCCATGAGCTCATAGAAACCTGGTTACTTTGTCTAGCACTGTTTCTCAGTCAGTTTATTCATTTTCTGGTTTGGTGGAATTTTTTAGATGCATTCTCCCATGGGAGCTTCCTTCTGCATCTCGTATTCTTCGCATCAAGTTTTATCCCCTGGAGTATGAGGAGGGAGGTACTGCACACTTCCTTTCCTCTTTTTCTGTATCAGCTATCATGTACCTTCGCCCAGTTCACCTCCTGTTCTGAGTTTGGCCATCTGTCCCTCTTAGCTCTCCTGGATGGCTATTCTGTCACCAGATCCTCTAGACATCGAACTTGTTTTCTTCATCGCATTAGGCTTGCAAGCAGGATTGATTGAAAATAGTCTAACCAGCACTCTCTATTTTCTCCCTTCACAGGATTTGTGTTCATTTCATTTTCAAAATTACTTACCCAATTTCTTCTTGACCATCTGTGTGGTGTCAAACTGTCTGAATAACCCAAAGTATAAATATGACATACACTTCCAGAAGAATGGAGAGATAAGAAATTTTGACCTTCCTTGTTAAGACTCATCAGCACCTCTCACTTTTGCCTCTTTAAGGAATACTTATTGCAAAGGACAATCTATTTAATTTGTATCTGTAGGATTCCATGTGACCATAAGGATCTGCCCTTGTGGATTTTGTTGCTTCCGAGGTCTGTGGAGGTGTGAAGATGAAACAGAGAAGCAGCTGTTTAAGTGAGTTATAGGATGTGAGAGCAGACAGTAAACCAGCAAATTTATCTTCTTTGACTGACACTTCAGCATACTTCTTGTTTGTTTGTTTTCTTAGCTTTGTCTTTTTCAGTTAAATAGTGGTTTCAGCTATTAGTATAAAGATATAAAGGTAGGCAGGGCATTGAACAACAGATTAAAACATAACGTAGTATAAAACACTGTGAAGCAGTAATTGAAAAATACATAAGTTAGTAAAAGAAAATAAGTAATCAAAGTACCACATACCAGAGTCCAAAGCCAGTCCCTGGGGAACTTTTTGTGCGTGACAGCTACTACCAGTCACAAGGCTGATTTGGTGACTCTAGACAGTTACATATTCAGGTCACGCTTTGTTCTCTTCATCAGTTACAGCTTCAACCAGATATGGCATCCTCTCCCAGCATTTCTTGACAGAAGTCAGGCTAAAGGCTTTTCAGAAGGGGTGGTTAATGCACTCTCTATATTGATATTACCAGTTTGAGGATAAGAGAAAAAAATTAGTCACTAAATGTGAAAACTGAAAATACATAAATGTTCAGAATTATGCCCAACAGCTTAGGAAAGGGGTAAATATTAAACTATCTCAAGCTGCTGGGCTTTGTTTGCCAGAAATTAATCTTCTCGGAGGGGCAAGAAGGGGGACAGAACAATATTACTGCAGTTGATGTCCACCTTATCCTCACCTTGGGAAAAATACAGATGGTGACAGTCCTGGCAGTTTCTGACCCCATCTTGGATGATCAGCTTTACACAGCTATGAAGTTATGAAGTTGACTTGGGGTTAGTAGGGAAATGATACCGGGTGACGCAGAGGGGCAGAAAAGGTGTCCATAAAGATGTATTTCACTAAATTTCATTGAGAATTAAGTTTTACCGTTGCATATAACTTCTAGCTCTCAAGACTTCTATGCAAAACTATTTCAAAATAATTTTATTACTAGCCTGTAAAATAGTCTTAATCTTTCTCTTACTTTCTAATGATGTACTGGAGAACTTGAAGGCCTTCCATTTTACTAAGCATATTTTGTTTTAAACTCCAAAACCCATACAGAAATGCAGTCTGTTACTTAATAATTTCAATATTATTTTGTTATATATGCTTTTCTAACACAGAATTTTTGGAATTTGCTGTGGAGTATTCATTTACTTATATCAAGTTTTTTTCCCCCCCCCCCCCCCCCCCCTCCATTTTAGTATAGGGATGTCATGGTGAAAGATGGATTTCTGTGAGACATCTCTCACAGTGGTGATTTATTATTTAACATTAGTTGGTTGCAGTCCATCTTCTTCCTGGCCACTGTGTAAGTATTCTTAAAGGATGGTGATGCTGACTGTCTTGGTGGAGTGCTTTGAGATACACAGAGAACGCTGTGCACAAGCCAGTATTACGGTCTCAGAGTCACTGGGCTTGTACTCACTTCACAGAAAACACCATTCCCCAGCATTAATTAGAGACAGAGCCCAAGGATTGAATGTGGATGTTGACTCACCTGATTCTTCAGGTCACTGGTGAGGTTGCTGGGTATGTTCTGGGAAGATTTCTGGACCACTGTATGGACACAGAGCTCCAGTTTCCAGGCTGCAGGCAGAGCTGCCCAAAGGATAAGATGGGTGGAAGTAGGTGGTTTCCCCTGGAACTGAGAAATCTTCCATGAAGTGCTGAGGCTCCTGTTGCATCAGAGACCAACTCTGGTTTGCCATGAACAAGCTAAGAAGCTTGCTGAATAGAAAAAGCACTTTGCTACAGAGAGAAGATTCAGTCGAAAGAGAAGAAAGAAGCACTGTAGTTAGGACTCCAGGAATAAATCTTTAAAGTAAATAGAAGTCTATACACCTCCAGTATCCTCTTTTGCATCAATGAAAAATATGCAGCTGCTTTGCAAGGGACTAGCTTTCACCAGCTCAAGATAATCAGAAAGCTGATATTTTACCAGCTTCCCATAAGCTTCCCAGAACTGATAGCTATAAATCCACCATAGGGAAGAGGATATTATATTTCTTCTTCTTAAGAGGTAAAAGAGGGCTGATTACTAATGCTGAAGTGAGTTGTTAAGAGACTTATTTACTTAATTGAGCCTGCTTGTTTGGTATGTGTCCCAATTAATTCATTTTTGTTGTGACCATATTGAAGCAACCTACACCCTTGTGACCTTCTCTTATAATTATTACCATATTCCTCTTTTGAAGCACTGTTTTGATTATGTACTCAAGAAACTCTGCTAAAATATCTGTAGCATTAGTACACAGTCAGATTTTTCCATTGTTTTGAACTCAAGGATAGTGACAAAAAGAATCGTTCTTTATTGAAGTTCTTGGAGGTTATGGGTCCCTTACAGCCCTTATTTGGGGGGGGGGGGGGTGTCTTCCTTTTTAATTTCACAAAATGACTATTTTGAATAGGCAGAACTTGTTCTCTAGAAATTCTTTTAAGAAAAATGTGTTGTTGGGTAGTAGCGCTCAGAGGTGCCTCAAAATTCCTCTCGTGTGCTGAATACTGTACATATTACAGGGTCACAGGAGAAAGTCACAGCAGCTGAAAAGGGGCTGGTACGTATGGCCATCACTGAACTTGCTGAGATTGCTGTGTGGAAGCTCTGCCCCAAGTGAGGCATTGTTTTTATTATTGCTTAAATTAACTACAGTATTTGACAGCTCTTTGCCTAAACCACAGTGGAGCTGTCTGGGCACCTATCTGTGAAGGAGAGACTCTTTCAGACATGGCAGTCAAATTTGCAATGGTAGGTGACTCTGTCAGTGAGGGGTTGCCACTGACAATAAACAAGGCGGGTGTTTATTCCTCAGTGCTTCATCGGATGAAGATTTTGCTGGTTTGCGCCAACCTCCACAACAGTAACTTGCACTCAGTAGGATGTTTTTGTACTCCTGCCCTCAGCTCCTCTCCTCCTGTTTACCTGAAAATCCCAGCCAAAAGGTTTTCCTCCATCATGCTATGCACACATGCACTGGTGGAGCTAGTTCTGGGCAGCAATCCCGCAGGCGGTGTCAGTTTAGAGAAAGGTGCTCTGCATGTTGCATCTTTCATTCCAGTGGAAATAGAAGGTCTTTTACCAGAAGTAAGTCTTAAACCAAGCCCCCTCGCCACTGGCTGTTGTATTTGGAAAGCTGCTGAGTACCCTTGCAGTTTTGTGCACCTCTTACAACAGCAGTCCCTTCTCCTCAGGCAACAGGACCCTTGTGGAGAGTATTTCTTTGCACAAGAGTTGCTGATACTGTTTCCCTTATTGAGCTGAGTAGTGTCACTGCTATCCCCAGTCTCTATCAGCTCTCTGCTCCCTTCTGTCCAGATCAAAACTGGCCGTGCTTTTAACTTCTTGAAGCACTGTGTACCTTTTTTCCTCTTCCTCATTCCCAGTCCTTTTCTCTCTACTTCCTTACAGAGTGCCTTCATGTCTGTGTTTTATGCTGTGTGGAGTTTCTTTTTTGTGTGGCAGACTCTCTGTTCCTGAAACAATTAAAAACACGTCCTTAAAGATAATGGCTCGCTCTAGGTCTCAGTTTTTCAATGGATAGCCGTCTAAGCTGCTGGGGTTTTGATGCCTGAGGGCAGCAGGTGATGGGTAGAGCTTACTCTGGATGCCACCCACTCAGTGGCATGCTGTGTCCTCTTGGTCTGACGTTTGTCTGAGCAATCCTCTGTTCTCCTTCAATGTAAGACTGCTCATGTAGCAAAAATTCCTGCAAGGGTAGAAAAGAAAAGGTTTCGAAATCTTCCTTCAGCCATGAATAATAATCCAGTGTAAAACAGATCACCGCCTGAGACCAGGCCCTCTTCATGCACCAGGCAAAGGTGGGTGATTGGAAAAGCCAAAGGAGTGGTCTCTCCACAAAAGCAGAATTAGAGGTTAATGCTTTGCCCTGCTCACTCTTGACTTTCTCTCTTTACGTAATCTGGTTTAACTCTTTGACTATGTCTATATCTAGAACACTTTGCCTAAGTGTTCTGCTTTAGAGTACATATGAAAGTTGCTGTATGAAAGATTAATTTCCTTTCCATCACTGGGAGTTTCCTTTTTACATGAACTCATGTGCCAGATCACACAGCATGCAGCCGAGGTGTTGCATTTTATAGGACACCTACAGGACTCTACTGAATGAAATCTGCAAGTCTTCAGAGTTCTTAAAATATGACTTTCTGTTTATGTGTTTTTTGGCATAGAAACAGAAAAGCTGGGGCTGGAGGTGGGAAATGGATTGCCGTCTTGGAAATTTAACGACCAGCTCTTGCCCTGTGACGTTTGTGGAAAAGTGTTTGGTCGACAGCAGACTCTGTCCCGGCATCTCTCGCTGCACACAGGTAAGCCGATGCTTTGCGGTTGGTTGTTACAGCACTGAGGAAATCTGTGTGTTCGTCGTGGTTTGTTTAAGTGGAGGGGGAAGAAGGTAAGCAGAAGAGCGTGTGAGCCATCCTCAGCTCCTTGCACTTAGAGCAGAGCCAAGCGCAGGAACAGGACAGAATGTCACAGTGGCGTTCAGGGAGTTAACTAACATTTTATTTCTTTACAGCCTACTTGTAATTTATCTTTACAAAATGTGTAAATTCAAGTTTGTCCAGGTTCCAGTAGACCAGCCTGTAGATACCAACTGGTTAACCAAGCCTGTTAATGGAGTTCTGAAGAGAAGGCACAACCTTTCTTACATTCACCTGATGAGCTTTTTAAATGTCACTGAACAACAAAAGATTTGGCCTTGGTGTTTCAGATCTGGTGAAACTGGAAGGATTTCATATCTGTCATTCATCTTTGCTGTCATCATCCAGTTCTGAGAGGAACAGGGGCTGTTCTACCCCATACCAACTTTCTTAAAGTGAATCAGCTTCTAATCAACTGAGACTAGCAGAGTTTTTATGTGGAAGATGCACCTTGTCACCCTGCTGAGGTGCACTGTACAAAATAAGACTTGAAAGCAAGAATTTCTGATGTAGTGCTGAAAAATACTGGTATAATGCCAGTGTACATTGTACCGTCTAGTAGAGCAATGCTAAAAAGGTTCAAATGCTCTGTTCCATGGCGTTGTGGGGTTTTCTTAGTCCTAAGCTGCTCTCTTGACTGCCTTTCCCCTAACACTTGTAGCATTATATTTCAAATTTAGAGCAGCAGCTCCTCAAAAGGAAACGTTGTAAAAGCTGATGTAATGTTTGCTCATTTTAATCAACTCTTTGCAAAATAAAGCCTGGCATGTACAAAAAATGTGCTGCCAGGATTTAGAAATGTTTAATTTAAAATAAAATCATTTTTATTTTAAATTGTTTAAATTGTGAAGCATCAGAAACTCATAATGAATTTGTTTAATTTCTTCAACTGTTCTTTGAGTGAGGGGTTTTTTTGTTAGTTTGTGTTCAGAACTGGCCTAATGATACAGTGTTCCCTTTCCTCCCCACCCTCAGATTTTAATACAAAATCATCAACCATCCACTCTCTGCAAGTGATCACATGGGCAACCTCAAGAATAACTGGACCCAAAAATCAAATAAAACATGCTAGGTAAAGGAAGTAGTTGTAGATTATTGACCTGTTTCTCTACTGGCTCTGCTGCAGCTCTCAGAGCAGCAGTTGCCCCAGTTTTCCAGTTTATAAAGTTTTATATTATCTGACTACACATGGGTAGAGCAAGTTAAAAAAAACTAGCCCTAAACTACCTCCAAATTGTTTTTTTTTTTCTGAGTAATTGCTGTGAACTCCTATAAGTTTCCAAAATGTCAAGCTTCCAAAGTACCTCATTCTGAAAGCTGCTCAGAGAAACCCAAAGGAATGCATTCATGGTTATTGAAGCAAGCTATTTTTAAAGCTGCCAAAATGAAGTATACATTTAAGGGTTTCTGTTTCTTTTTCAGAAGAGAGAAAATACAAATGCCACTTGTGCCCCTATGCTGCTAAGTGCCGTGCTAATCTGAACCAGCACCTGACCGTCCATTCTGTGAAGCTGGTGAGTACAGACACTGAGGACATTGTCAGCGCTGTCACTTCTGAAGGCAGTGATGGAAAGAAGCACCCTTATTACTACAGGTGAGGACCCAGACAAGGGCTGTGCACCAGATGCTGGAATCTGAATGTCTTATCTGCCTGCTAAGGATGTGTAACAGGGCCGCCCTTCTGGTGTTGCAGGGTGGAACTGCGATGAAAGTGTTAGTCTTGCCCATATCTGACTTAGGCTAAGCAGCAAAACCCAGCTGGCTGTCTCATGTTGTTTGACTTGGCTAGCCATTGGGAAAGACTCTGGGGTTTGGTGTGGGGTTGGGTTTTTTTTAAACAGCTTTGTGAGGCAGATGGGCTCTTAGAAGCCTCTTTAACTTTTTATGCAGTGTTTGTTTGTGTTTGGAAACATCCCATCGTGTACACAGATTCACGGCAAATCTAAAGCACTGTGCCTCTGTTCCAGTTGCCTCTGACAGCTCCATTGTTTTCAGCCAAATCTATGAAATCAAACAGTAAAGCGTAATAAGAACTGTTATACTGATATACACATTTCCTCCATTTGCTAGAGGTATATACATTCAGTGACCAACATGATGGAAGAAAGAAAACCTTTAGGAGAATTTGCCTGAAAAATTAAAATTGCCCAGATAAAATAGATATTTGGACATTCTCCTTGTCGTATGCACTGTTGTGCGCTCTCCAAATTGTGATATGCACTCTAGTGGCCAAGCAGATTACCAAATCACTCTTACTTGTAGTCAAAGTGCCAAGAACAGATTTAATTACAAAATTATAGAAGTAAGAAATAAATGAGACCTGCTGGATTAGATTATCTAGTCCATCCCCCCAGGAAAGCAAAATAGTGCCCCAGAGCATACGCCTTTTAAAATGTTTTTGGCTTGTTTTAAATGTTAATGGCCTAATCAAAGCAAAAGGAGGACTCTGCAAAGAAAGTTAAATTAAAGGGTCCTTTCCATTGCCTCTCAATATCACTCTGTTTATGCACTGGCTGTGAAATCTGTATCCCTGCTAATTATTTGCATAGCTGATGACTGCTGTTTCCCAGTCAAGCATAAGAAATGTTTGAACCCATTTTTACTTGCTTACACTGAAACTGCCAGGCAGTTTTGCACAAGATCCCAGTTTGGCATGGGAACCATTCCAGGCCTTGAAAATAACTCCTGGAGTGTGCAGCAAGCTCTCCGTTTGTCAGTGTATCAGCCATACTAAACATCTTGGCAAAGCTGCAATGCCTCTTATTGCCCAAAGGAATCAGCTAGGTGATGCGCAGCATCTGGAATCTGTAGTTTTTAATTAACTTTATGATTATTTAGCGTCATTATAGCATGTACAGGATTGTTGCGTTGTGCCTGCCCTTAATCACGTTGGCATGGCCATCAGTTCAAAGGCAGTTCAGCAGACAAAAGAATTTTGCAGTGAACATTCAACAGTGAGGAAGAGAAGAAATCTGTGCAGCGAGTTTTTTCTTGCAAATTCAGGGAAAGGCAATATGCTTCTGTTTGTGGTTTGTTTTTTAATGTTTCTTACTCTTGAATTCCCTTCTGCCGGCAGCTGTCATGTGTGTGGGTTTGAGACGGAGATGAATGTCCAGTTTGTCAGTCATATGTCCCTCCATGTGGATAAAGAGCAGTGGATGTTCTCCATTTGCTGCACAGCATGCGATTTTGTCACCATGGAAGAGGCAGATATGAAGGCTCATGTCAACAGCAAGCACACAGGTGATGATCCCTCTCTCCCAGCTGCAGTGATCTCTCTCTTCCTTGCTTTTTAGGTGCAACCTTCACACTTCCCATTAGCACTCTACTTTCACTGAAATGCTTGCTAATTAAGGCCTGATCTCTCAAAGTTGAAGTGAATTGGACTCCAGCCAGGCAAATAATCTGGTAGTGCAGATCAATTTTCAAGCTTAGTGAAATAAATGAAGGACTACTTAGCCCTCCTTCTTCCTATTCCCTTTATCCCCCAAATCCCCTCCCCTGTTGAAGTCAGCATACTTCGGGTTTTTTTCTGACTGGTTTACTATTTCATCAAAATCCTGGTTTGACTTCCGTGATGATAACGTGACTTTGAGTGCTAATTGTGCATACCTGGCTGTAAGTTTGAAATACACAGCACGCTGAGCTTCACTCTTCAGTGTGTTTGCCTCCACAGTCTATCAGTTTGGAATGTCACGCTGATGTTTAGTTGACACTGTGATTCAGCAATACCGTAAATCTAACTTTATGTTAAATAACAGAACGAATCATGTGTTCTCTCCCTGGTCCTGTTCATTTAACAGCCAAAGATAAGAGCAATAGCAGTTTTCAAACAAGCTCCATATGCTTAGTCCAACTAATGAAGTCTGGCATAATTTAAGGAGAAGAAAATTAGAATCCTTTTAATTAATTTCTCTTATAACACCAGGCAGAAGCATTTTGCTGCCACAAACTAGTAACAATTGTGTTGACAAAACTGAACCTGAATTGCATCCAGCACAGTTTTCCCACTGCTAAAATGCTTTTCCTGTCCCACCAGGAATAAAATAGGGAAAAGAGGGAGGGGTTGAGAAGGAGAAGGGAGAGAAGAATGCAGTTGTCTGTGCTCACAGATACATAAGTTAAATGTAACTACAGAAATACAAACTACTGGAAAAGCTCTCAAGGGATCTTATGCCACCATAGCTCTCGGCACTACTCCCTGCTATCTGAGGTGTTTGCATCCAAATCTGCTTCATATATAGGAAGTCAAGGCAAGTGAGAAACGCCACCCATAGCCATGTGAAAAGCTTGCATCGGAGCTCAAAACTGAGTTGTACTCTACTGTATCTTCCTGTTGTGGTTAAAAGATTGGAGCTGCTGCTTGTCTTTTAAAGAAAGACAAAAACCCCTGTTTTCTTTCTTCACCCAGTCAAACTGAGCCGTTCAGCTGGCGATTCAGCCAAATGGTTACACATATGGCAAATACAGAGAGTAAAAAATAGAATGGATTTTCTGGGTCGCTTGACTCCAGTCCCTTATCCTGTGATGTTACCAAGTCATAAAAGGCCTGTTTGTAAGGACGTTGGCCTATGTCTTCAAACAAGTATAACTGTTTTAAACCAACTACTTCTACAGACAGGCAGCTGCAGATTTTCCTGCATTAAAGACTACGGACCTTTTTAAAATTTCCAGCGTGTGTCTTACTGGTAATCAGAATACACATATGTTGTTCTTGTGTCAGAACTGTCCTTTATCTGAAACAGCAGTCCACCTCTTGCTCCCTCCTCCTTTCTTCCCTCCTTCCACAGTATTTATTCCCTTACTATATTTATGGAGAACAACCCTCTCCCCTCTAAACGTACATTGAGCCTTTTCTTATATGAAACAGAGTTTTCTCACTGTACCAATCCCTCATTGCATGTGTTCTTGTTTAGAACCCCTGCTCTTGACATATGCAATCACAGCTGTACATGGTGAAATGAAATAAGTAGTGGTGGCAGTGTAAAACAGCAGCAGCTACTGGGAGTAGCTCACACAGTAACATTCTGTGATCATACTTACCTTCCTTGAAGGCTCCCCCACACTGATTGCTCATATTCATCCCATGTTCTGCTCAAATTCTTCTTTTGTTTTCCTTGACTGTTTCCAACTTAAGCACTCCTCATTTGTAGCAAAAATTCTTGTTACTGGCCCTTCAGGTCATAACCTTGTACTCTGTACTATTAAATTTCATTCCATTTCTATTACTCTGTTCCCCAAGGTCAGTGAATCTTTCTATATGATATCCCAGTCATCCTCCCTATTGACAGCTCGGATCATCAAATTTCATTAGTGCATTCCTACATTTTTATCTTAAGACTTAAAGGTGCCGCTCATCAGTTTAAAGCTGGGCATGTAGGTACTGGTGGTTGCAGAGGCCTTGATCAGGGGCCTTTATCACATAGAGAATATGACGGTTTAGTAAAGGCTCTTTTTAACACAGCTCTGATTAAACCAAGACGTAGGTGGGAGGTAATAATTTGCCCACCCTTGCCTCGTTGGCTCACGGCAGTTCTCATATGAGAACTCTTACTTTTGTTCATCTCCAGTGTGTGATAGGGCTTGGGATTTGAACTTCATACATTTATTACACACATAAGGAAACTCTGATGGGCTTCAGCTTTAGATCCAGTTAAATAATTTTTTTTTTAATTAATTATCTTCAATAAGAGGTCCTAATAAAACCAGAGAAATCTTGAGACAGTGCTGTTCTCTCTTGCAATCATTACTGAGGATGCTCCTCAGTACAATGAGTGAGATTATTCTCCTTTGCCTTTCCAAATTTACCCATTGGACCCACATAAATGGCAAGGTGGAGGAAGTTTAGCTTGGACCAGTTGGCACTTTTGGTTTCAGTACCCCAAACCTGCAGAAGCTCTGTTTCCTTTCTAAGTGACAAGTTCTTCATTGTTTTTGAACTCTGAGCTAATCAGAGTGTTTTCTTGGGATTTTTTCAGCCTGGTAATGAGGTAGAGTTGCATGCTTCCTTCCCACTAGCATTACAGACAGACTCAATTCGAGGATAAACTGAGAGATGTCCTGTTGTAAATGCTAATAAAAAGGAAGGAGGTGCAACTATGATTTCTTAACAGACCAGTTAATTTCAGACCTGTTTATAAGCGTGTTTGAATTAACTTTAAATATAAATATTTTCCTGAAATTTAAAACAAACAGGATCACTGAGATTCCATCTAATCTGCTGTACTAGTTATTGCTCTTTATTCCTGTTTTTCAGCTGAAGAGAGGAAGACACCCAGTGAATCTAACAGTCCATCTTCATCTTCGCTGTCAGCACTGAGTGACTCCGCCAACAGCAAAGAAGATGCCGATATAACCCCAAAAAACAAAGGTTCGAACAACCTGCTAGTCATTTCTGTAGTGCCTGGTAGTCAGACCTCAGTGAACACTGAAGAGAAGTCAGAGAAAGGTAAAACGCTGTTAAACAAATACAAACTGTCACCTTCTGTGCAGTCAATCCGGCCACAATGTAAGGAATATATTTTCATGTTTTATTTTTCAGGCTTTGAATGTGTTTTCTGTAACTTTGTCTGCAAAACAAAAAATATGTTTGAGCGCCATCTGCAAATCCACCTGATCACACGGATGTTCGAGTGTGATGTGTGCCACAAGTTCATGAAGACACCTGAACAATTACTGGAGCACAAGAAATGCCACACTGTCCCCACCGGTGGGCTCAAGTAAGGAAAGCAAGTACACAAACTTTTACTGTGTTAAGCACCTCTAATACTGTGGGGATAGGACAAAAGGAAGTCAATGAGAAAGGGTTAGTTGAACATCTGATAATCCAGATTTGGGGCTTCCTTTTATTTAGATGACCCAATCCCAGTCCTTCAGTGTAGACTTGCATCATTATAGCAGATCAGTAACCTAGCAGCAGATGTAGTGTCCGCTGGTCTTAGAAGAAACTGTGGTCCTTTCCCTTTTCAAGTCAAATAGGAGACAGTAAGTGATGGGTCCTACAGAGAACGAGGCAGCACTACACAGAGGTGTTGGCAAACTAAGAGGGGGTTTTTTTCAAGGCATCAGAGCAAAGGAGAGCACACAGCACAGGCTCTATTCTGCACCTGGCTCAAAGAAACTAAACCCTGTACAGTCTCTGCAACTAGGTATGAAGTTGTAACCTTAAAGGCGATAACCTTTGTAGACTCTAACGCAAAGTCAGTCCTCTCCAAGAATTATTAACTTTGATGCTTTCCGCTTTGGTTTGCATGCCCCAGAATGATCACTGTTGTCTAAATTAATATGTAACGAGTAATATGCTCTGTTAGGAAAAAAAGCCCTTTGGCTAAGGTGGTGTCCTTTAAGGTCAGTTGGTGCAGAGCAGTGTTTCTAGAGAGTGAGCGTGCCCTTATGTCAAAGTTGGACCCCTGCGGGAAGGAGTGACTGCTGGGGCCATATGCTTGCTCTCTGTGGGCGGGCAATGTGACGTTATGCAAGATGCACGTCCCCAGTCTCTCTCTGTTCCAGCTGCTGCAGCAAAAGAGGCTGGAACCACTTTGAGCCCAGCTAGGGTTCAGCACAGGACTCCCTGCTTCTGTTGCCCTTGCGAAACAAACTAATGTTTTCAGTGCACTGTAACTGTCACGTGATGAGCACACCAAGTTTAATGTTACCACAAGTAGCTCTATCAGTTTGCACTGCAGTTTTTGAAAACTGGCTCTGTTTGCCAGGCAGCGTCTGGTCTCCAGCTCAGTAGTTCCATGAACTGGGATCTGTGGTCACTTGAGATGTGATGAGTGAATCTGGGAAGAAGACCAGACTGAGAAACAAGTAGGGTGCCAGAATGACGGGATGTCTGTCTTGGACATACAGACCAGTTGTCTAACGCACTTTGGGTTTAAGCTGCACAGTATCTGTTCTATTTACCAAGGAAAAACCATGACCTATGACTCAGACCTTCCTGACGGAATGGGCTTCTCAGTCTACATAAGTTATTCCTGCCGAACTCAAGTGATAATTAGGTACCTTGAAAGCTGCACCTAAGAAAAAGCTCTGATTTATTTTTTTTTTAAGGCATCCAGAAGAGCCTGAAGAGATCTAAGTAAATTGTATTTTTCTGTCTCCTGTTTGCTGTGGGGGAAGAGAAAAAAACATGATTCCTCCAGCTCCAGGTCAAACTCTGAGATTCTGATCCAGAGAGCACCCAGCCCAGGAGAGGTATGTGTGCATAGACAGCTGAGTCCTCTGTTGCAATAGAGCTAATCATGTTAGCGGCCTCAATGCCAGGCTTCCTCTCTGGATCAGAGTACTTGATGTGCATCAGGAAAAGTGTCCGGATGTTTTAGTATCCGTTCGTCCTCCTGTGTTACTCACTGTGCTCAAAAGTCTCTCGATTAGCGGGTAGATTAATACTAAATCTGTATGTGCGACCAGTTGTAGCAAGGGAGAACACACATGGAGAGAGAGGATCTCAGCTTAGAAATGATCTGAAATGCTAGGACCCAATTGGCAGACCTGCTAAACAGTGAACGCAGCTCAGCAGCAGGTGGAGACGTCTGCAAGACAGTAGCCAGGTGCCTTAGCTGTACGTTTTTATCTAGACTTGCTCTTTTAGCTCACCAGTTAGATCTGGAAGGGAGCACGCTGCGTTTCATTAGCAGAGCTCCCTGGCAGGTAGCTGTCCTCACCAACTTCCTCTCGGCTACATAAAGCAAAGGCGGGCGTGTTTTGGGTTTGTTGGTGTCCAGGCTTGTTCAGCTCAGGCTTCCTTCCAAGCTTTCAAGATTCCCTCCTCCAGCCTTCTCGGCCCTTCCTGGTCCAGGAACCAGGGGTGAGGCCCTTTGCCACGTCCACCCCGGTCCGGACGCTTGCCGCTGTGAGTAAGCGGAGCCCACATCCTGTTCCCACACAGGAACAATTCCTGCCGTGGCAGAGGCGGCTGTAGGCAAACACTGCCAAACACACGCCCCCTTTGAGCATGGCTAGCTCATCTCCCAGAAACGGGAATCCCTACAAATCAACCTAACAGACTGGCTTTCAGCTGCTCCTAGCAGAATACCCAGCAAGCTTATTGTTCAAGGTCACATAAAAGGAATTTCCTAAGCTTTTGCTGTACATGTCGTATTACAAGTTTATTCCATCTTTACTTAAACAGCTGCTTTCATACTCATCTGTAAACACTCACTTTAAACCACTTCTTAATGGAAAAAATGGCCAAGGTGACTTCGTGCAAACACTAGGAATGTCGTTACACAAAGCACCTGTGAATCAGTCACCCACTCTGCACTACCCGGCCTGCTTTGCAGAATCTTCCCCATCAAGGTAAGCCAGAAGATTAAAGGGATGCTCCTTCAGCGTGAATCAGTGTTTTCCTAGGAATGCGTGAGCTCTACTGCCATTAAATGGGCAAACCTCCTCTAAGTAGAGACGTAGCAAGGTGAATCAAGTATTCGAAAGAGGCTTTACAGGGAGAACTAAGTGCCTTTTTCTCCCCTTTAGTAGGTCAGAGAGGGGTTGAGTGACAGGGTTAAACCAGGAATGCAAATCTTCAAGCTGAGTGACTTCTCTTTTCTCTGTCCCTGCCTTTCCTTGCTGTGTTGCCAGGTGCCCATTCTGCATCTACTCCACTAACCGCCCCGCAGCGATGGAGTGCCACCTGAAGACTCACTACAAGATGGAATACAAGTGTCGGATCTGCCAGACAGTGAAAGCCAACCAGCTGGAGCTGGAGATGCACATCCGAGAACACCGCCTTGGCAACCATTACAAGTGCGACCAGTGTGGCTACCTGTCCAAGACCGCCAACAAGCTGATTGAACACGTCCGTGTCCACACCGGTGAGCGCCCTTTTCACTGTGACCAGTGCAGCTACAGCTGCAAACGCAAAGACAATCTCAACTTGCACAAGAAACTGAAGCATGCTCCACGCCAGACTTTCAGCTGCGACGAGTGCCTGTTCAAGACTACCCACCCTTTTGTCTTCAGCCGCCACGTGAAGAAGCACCAGAACGGGGACTGTTCCGAAGAGGAGAAGAAGGGCCAGTATTCAACCTCCAAGGAAGCCAGTCCACTCCTACCAGTGAACAGCTCCAGAAACCTCCTGTCACCCCTCTCAGTTATGTCTGCCTCCCAGGCTCTGCAAACAGTGGCTATGTCAGCTGCCCACGGCAGCGGGGCAGAGCCAAACTTGGCAGTGAAAGCCTTGGCCATCAACGGCACTTCCCTGTGCTTTGATAAATACTGGAACTCAGAGTTTGCCCACCTTATTCCTTTAACAATGTTTTTCCCCAAAAACCACTACGATCTCACATTCCATCCACCCAGACCTCAGACTGCACCGGGAGGTGCCTCTTCACCTAAACACTCCTTCCTTGCCTATCTTGGACTAACAGAAAGGGCAGAAACTGTCTGAGGGCAGTTACGTTCTGTACCAAAAATACCCCAACAAACCCAGCAGGTATACATTGCTGCAAAACGGAGACCGAAGAGGTAACGAACACTTGTACTATATCATTAGTAAGGTTTAGAAAACGGCTCTGTGTGTATACTTATTGCATTGACATGAAAGCTGCTTTATTAAATCTTCAAGAGGTGACCTACTGCATACTTCTACCTTCAGAGGCATGTTCCCAGTACTCTTATCTAAGAAACTATTTTGTCTTGTTAAGCTGAAAAAGAGTGTCCTTAATGGCAATCAGCACTTGTAAGATTACATATTGATGCATTTTATTTTGGGGCTTTGCGTGCGTGCGGGCGCGTGAAAGAGAGTCTGCCTGTAGCATGCCATGACATTGCTTTTGCACATCCCTTGTATTGGCTTATTTAAAGATTATTCTTTTTCCCTTTTCACATACTCGCTCCCTCCCTTCCCTCCGTCTCCCCCTGAACTGTAGAGTTGTGGAAGGAGTAACGCTTGGTTCAGGGTGGATCGGTGTATTATTTCAGTGCTGTTTGCAGCTTTCTTTAGTTGTTTGATGCCTTGTACTCTGTTGTCAAGGTTTGAGGATTTGGGGTAGAACTGATGAGGAAAAAGTTGCTTTCAGCACTGCAGGATGAGAGCCTGACAATGAAAAGCGCGTGTGTACACACACGCGCATATGCAGTGCGTGCAGTCTACACACCCGCACAGCAGGCCCGATTCCTAACTGTTACGCAGGTGTATCAAATGCCTGCGTCTGGGCCATAGCATACATCTTTTGTTTTAAAAGGGCATATAAATATTATAT